TCAAAAAGAAAATGACATAAAGAATGAAGAAGAGGGACAGCCGCGGGAAACGCAGCTACAGAGGTGGAGGCCGTGCTGGGGACGAGGCTGGGTTCCAGATCTAAATTTGGCTCCGCAGAGGGAACCTGACACGCTCTGGCCGCGCGCTGCCCTGCCGCAGGCGTCGGGTCGGCTGGGCGGTGCCTCGCGCCCCACGTCGCGCCCGTTTCCGGGTGACTGGCCAGGCTGGGGCGACCTAGAGAGGCTGAGCCAGGGCGGAGGCGTCTGGCCATGGGCTACCGGCACGCAGAGCCCCGGGCGCAGGCACTGTCCGCGCGTGGAATCGCCCGGTCTCCGTAAACTCCCTGCCCGTGGCGGCTCCTTGCCTGGCCGTCCCTCCCACGTGCGCCCGTTTCCTGCCTGTTCTGCCAGCGATTGGGGGCTTTTTGCACCCGGGGTGCAGTGCACGACGCGAAGGAAAACCGTGTGCATCCTGACGCCGCTGCAGCACTGCACCTGTGGATTTTTTTTTTACTCAGGAAGGAAAGACAGTGGGAGGGCGGTAGCTGCAGCGCAGCTTTTCCAACCTGCGAAGACGCTACCCGCTGGGATTTTTCCCTAGCACTCTGCAAATAAAGTGGAATTTGAATAAGGAGAGACAAATTGTGCAGAAGGAGAGAAAAGAAAAGCGTAAAACGCAGCTGGAGATGCCGGGGATCGAACCCGGGACCTCATACATGCAAAGCATGCGCTCTACCACTGAGCTACATCCCCACTCGGCTGGCGCCTCCTCTCGTCACTCTCTTAATGGCTTTGTCCCGCGCGGTGCAGGGAGCCCCGGGTTTGCATCCCGTGCAGGACGTATTGCATGGTCCTCCACTGACGCCACACCTGTGGGTCTTGACCGCCGGGTGCCACCAGGGAGCACTGAGCCCGCTGGAAATACCTGGGAGCAGCGGTGGGAAAAAAAAAAAAGGGAGGGAAACATCAGGCACAATGCCCAAAATGGACTGTGTCTTGAAAAAGGAAAGTAAAAGCAACACTATGCATGTGCATGCAGCATGCAACGTTTTCCTTTTAAAAAGGAGATGTTGGGGCAGTAAAATACAGAATATTTGAACAAAATAACCTAGAAACTGTGAAGTTGATTGCTTGGGATGGGGAAAGAAGTGGACACACGCAGAACTCATAACGACAAGGTCCAGGAACACAAGACCCATAACACATAAAGATTGAAATAAGCCGACTGAGGCCCCTCTCCTCTTACACAAAAAATATAAAATAGCTGGTACACCATGACTAAAAAAATAACAAGCTTCTATTGGAAGAAAAAAAAATTAGACCGGATATAATTACGCTGGATCAAACTATCTTAAATACATAAGGCGGTACCAAACACACAAGAGCGCAAACCAACACACTTTAACACATATACAATATTGCTAGTGGCGAGGACAGATGCATACACACACACACCAGGCAACAAACACTGAAAAAAATGATGATGTGAACACAGCAGACAGGAAAAAGGTGGGTAGGGTAATTCACACATGTACCAAAGAAATACATACAAGCATCCAAGCGCAGAAGACCAGAGCAGGGGCTGGGGGCAGATAGACAAACGGGCAGGCTCGGGCTATTTTAAGGGCTCTTGAAGTGAGGTGTTACTGTGGAGTCTCAGCAGGGAGAGAGGGGCTTTCAAGGCAAGGAAGTGGAAGTGATTATCACAAGGGCGTGAGTGAAGGAGGCCCAAGGAGTGAGTGAGTGCAGGGAAAGGAGGAGGGAACCACAGGAGGCCGACATGCGTGAGTTATTAGGGGTTGGGGGTGGGGAAAAATACCGAATAAGGGAAAATTGTAAGATGTGTATTGTGTTCAATAATTACATAAGAAAAAGCAAAAGGCCGCACGTGGTGGCTCCATCGCCTGTAATCCTAGCACTCTGGAGGCCGAGGCAGGGAGGATCGCTCAGGTTAGGAGTTGGAACCAGCCTGAGCAAGAGCGAACCCGTCTCTACTATAATAGAAAGAAATTAATTGAGCCACTAATATATATAGAAAAAATAGCCGGCATGGTGGCGCATGCCTGTCGTCCCAGCTACTCGGGAGGCTGAGGCAGAGGATCGCTTGAGCCCAGGATTGAGGTTGCTGTGAGCGAGGCTGACGCACGGCACTCACTCTAGCCTGGGCAGCAGATGAGACTCTGTCTCAAAAGAATGACATAAAGATGAAAGAAAGGGACAGCGCGGGAACTGCAGCTACAGAGTGGAGGCCGTGCTGGACGATCTGGTTCCAGATCTAAATTTGGCTCCGCAGAGGGAACCTGACACCTCGGCCGCGCGCCGCCGCCCTCCCCGCCGCGGGGTGCTGGGTCGGCTGGGCGGTGGCCTCGCGCGCCCACCTGTCGCGGCCCGTTTCCCGGGGCTGACTGGGCCAGGCTGGGGCGACCTAGAGCTGAGCCAGGGCGGAGCGTCCTGGCAGGGCTACCGGCACGCAGACCCGGGCGCAGGCA